TTATTGTTTAGCTCGTGAATCAGCTGATTTTGAGTACTCACAGCATGAACCAAACTTTCATACTGACTCTGAAGCTTTGTCAAAGCCGAAACTGCTGCAAGATGTCTTCTTCAAAAGTCGATAGAACAGAGCCCCGTCAATGCCAAAAAGCAGAGTCCCTGCTATCATAAATCCCAATATATAAACGTCTTCAGTGTCCTCCTGAGACAAGACTAAGTGGCACATCAACTGCCACACTCTCCACGGATCCATGGCATACCCCACAACATGAGTCTCAGCTGGACAAGCGGGTTCTCCAGGACCCTGTCGTTTTGATGAAAAAATGTTGCAGATAGTGTTGAAAGCCCAGGTCACCAGGTCCATAATCTTACATACAATACAATTAGAATTAGTAAAACTCAATAAGTAAATGGTAGTCTATCTAAGGACACCAGCAAATTGTGTCAAAAATTCACTTTGATGCGATCTATCATAATCAGCAGTACTGGAAACAGTGGAAACTAACTTTTTTTTAATAGGGAGAAACATCTTGCAGAACTACATCTAGGAAGAGTGGTCATCTGCGTCAACTGGCTGAGGTTTGAGAGAACAGGAAAGATAAATGTAAATGACAATTGGACTGTATTTATAAAGCGCCTTTCTAACCAACCAGGCTACTCAAATCAGAATCAGCATTATTGTCACTGCACAGAGCACAACAAAATTACATTTCAGTACAGCCCATCTGAAGAACCACAGAAAAACAAACACAGACTTGGGTAGCTGGGGTGACTGAGGCAGCAGCCTCTGAGAGACGCTCCTTTTTCGTTAGATTAGAAAAAGAGGAACACGAGGAAAGAGGGGGCAAAAAAAAATCAATCTTGTTTCCAAAACATCCAGAAGAAATTGGGATGGTCAATCATCTAAGGCCAGAGCCAGATTCAGATATCAACATTTGTTTTGGGTCAGGCCGAGCTCCGTTAATTTCCATCTGCCTTTACAGTCTTGCTCGTATATCTCATCTCATGGCGACTCCAAACAGCCAAAATTGTGATTACATATGCCGAGTCGAGCTTAAAACATCTCTGAGATCTATTCCTTCCCACCATCCATGAACACTGCCAGAAAAATCCATAGTCCTGATAAAAGATGGCACGTCTATTAGCTGGTTCAGCTCTGATACAGGTCCACGGATAGTTCACACAGCATAGTCTGAGTGTTGTGTAGTGAACCTGATCTGACCCTGATCTGACCCTGATGACCTCAAAT